AGGGGTGCAAGGCCATTTAAGCATTTGAAGGTCAACAGAAGAATTTTAAAGACTATCCTAGTACGCACAGGGAGCCAGTGAAGGGAGGACAAAACAGGTGTAATATGTTCAGACCTACGAGTTCTGGTTAAAAGCCGAGCAGCAGCATTCTGGACGAGCTGAAGATATGAGATGGAGGCCTGGCTGATCCCAGCATAGAGTGCATTGCAATGGTCAAATCGGGTCGTGACAAAGGCATAGACTAGTTTCTCAAGTTCGGGTCTGGACAATACTGGCTTGAACTTAGCTACCTGTCTTAGTTGGAAGAAGCTTTTCTACAGAACAGAGTTGATTTGTTTGTCAAACTTGAAGTCAGAGTCTAAAACCATCCCGAGATTTTTACCAGACTGCTTAAAATATGGCTGAAGAGAGTCCAGGTTGATAAGATGCAACATACAACACAACATGCCCTTCCACTTCTATGCCGATGACTGTCAAATTTACTTCCCCCTAAGACACAATGGTACATGCTCTATTCAACCGCTGCTCAACTGCCTGGTTGACATCAGGGACTGGATGGCTTTAAATTTCTTAAGTTTCAATGAAAAGAAGCCTGAAGTCATGTTGTTCCCTCCCAACGACACGATCACAAACCACTGCATCGACCTTTCCGCTCTAACCCTGTCAGAAAAACAAAGAGTCACTAATCTGGGCGTGATAATGGACCCTTCCCTGAAACTTAACAATCATGTAAACATGATTGTTAAATCCTGTTTCTTCCAATTGAGGCAGCTGTCTAAACTGAAGCCCATATTGTCCAAAAATAACCTGGAGACAGTAATACATGCATTCATTACATCTAGGCTTGATTACTGCAATTCGCTCCTGTTTGGTATCAGTCAGACCTCCATTGCACGACTACAACTGGCCCAGAATGCAGCAGCCCGATTTTTAACCAGTACAGGCAAAAGAGAGCACATTACACCAGTTTTGGCCTCACTGCACTGGTTACCGGTTCACTTTCGAATCCAGTTCAAAATACTCATGTATGTCTACAAATCACTGAACAGTGTCTTCCCCCCCCCCCACCCATCTCTCTGATTTGCTACAACCGTATGGCCCACCATGTTCCCTGAGGTCAGCAGACCAGTTGCTCCTCACAGTTCCAGGAACTCGTCTTAAGCGCGGAGGTGACAGGGCCTTCTCTGTAGCAGGACCAAGACTCTGGAACGAGTTACCTCTGCTTGTCAGACAGGCCCCCTCCCTCTCGGTTTTCAAGTCCCCTTTAAAAACTCACTACTATTCAATAGCTTTCAACACAAGATGATCTGTGTTTTGATCCTGTATGCTCCACACTGGTTTGTCGTCATTATCTGCATCATTTTTTTTTTGTTTTTTTTGCCTCATTTACCTCATTTTGTATTTTGCTTTGTGTGTTACCAGTTGTTTTGTCTGTACAGCACTTTGGTTGGCCTTGTTGCCGTTTTAAGTGCTTTATAAATTAAGTGGTTTGGCATGGTATGGTAAGATCAGTGGCGGAAGTTGAGCTAGGGCTAAAGACAATGACTTCAGTCTTCTCATTGTTAAAACTTGAGAAATTTGAAGCCATCCAGGCCTTAATGTTGTCCAGACATTTTAACAGCGGGTGAATGGAGCAAACACTTGCTGGTTTCACAGGCAGGTAGATCTGAAAGTCATTAGCATAACAATGGAATGAAAGACCATGTTTCCTCAGGATGGACCCCAGTGGGAGCAAATAAAGTGAGAACAGAAGGGGTCCAAGAATCGAACCCTGTGGGACCCCGCAAGAAAGTGGTAATGAGGTGGATACATTATTACCAACCTTGACACAAAAACTCCTGCCACTTAGGTATGAGCGGAACCATTCTAATGCAGTACCTATAATCCCAACCCACTGTTCCAGCCGTGATATAAGGATATCAACTGGTCAACAGTATCAAAAGCAGCAGTAAGGTCCAGGAGTACAAGTACCACAAATTTACCAAAATCATTTGATATCATAATATTGTCACAGACCCTCACTAATGCTGTTTCAGTGCTGTGGAGTTGCTTAAAACCAGACTGAAAAATCTTGAAAATTCTGTTCTCATTCAAAAACATATTTAATTTAATGAAAACTATTTTCTCCAGGATTTTGGACAGGAAGGGAAGTTTTGAGATTGGTCTGAAATTTGAGCAAGTCGAAGGGTCAAGTCCAGGTTTCTTAATTAACGGATGAACTACTGCATGTTAGAAAACATCAGGAACCACACTTGTCACAATACTACTATTTATAATAGTAAGAACAGAGGGTCCAATCGTGGGTAGAACTTGTTTGAAAAACGATGCAGGAATGGGGTCAGCGGGGGAACAGGAGGGTTTCATCTGACCAACGACTTTGTTTAGAAATGGGAGTGAAATGGGTTCAAACTGTTTGAAGACAGCTGAGCAAGGGACAAAGACAGAGGGGTGTCAAAGTCTCTTACAAAAGGGGGTCAAAATTAAACCTTTTTCAAACTAAGGGCCAGTTTCAGAATCTACATTAACTCAAGTTACATACCCAACGTCTTTTCTTGGTTTCAGTTTCCTCAACAAGTGTTTGATTGGTCTCATTTGATGTTCTCTGTTGCATTTTTGACATCATAATCAAAGATTACTGAAAAAAATAAAGGGATAAAAGTATTTTACATTTAAAATAACATCTTGGGGCCAGATAAGATGTCAACGAGGGCCACATTTGGCCCCAGGGCCTTGATTTGACACTGAGGAACAGCTTCTACCCTGAGGCTGTTCGGCTCATGAATCTCTAACCAGAATAATTACTGTGAAAAATCACATCATGTTGCAGCTCATCTGTTTCATGTTGCTGTGTTCATGCATGCTCATCTGCTCACACAGACTCATGTCCGTGCTGCTGTTTGGCGTATTGTTTTTATGCTACTTGTGCTTAGTTTATTTTTATTAACGTTTTTCTTAGTTCATATCTTAGATCTTATTACTGTTTTTCTTTTGCATTTTATACTTTTGTTGGATGTAACTGAGATCCTGTGTACACAATTTCATTCCACCACATGTACCACATGTGGTGGAATGACTTGAATCCTTGAACAGTTAGCTGTAGCCTGCAGCACTTTATGTGAGGATCATACTTGTTCCTCTGTTTCTTACAGGTGGAGCTGCGGGTCTGGGTTTCACTCTTCGCTTCATCTCATGATGACAACATATCAAGTTACAGATCTTTTCAACTATTCATCAACACACCTGTTATTAAAGTCTGGCTTTCATTTGACTCAACTGTCAACTATATGCTCACTCATAGTCATGATTTACCAGTGTTTTTTTTTTGTTGTTGTTTTTTTTAGAATGGCAGAAATAAAATGTTTGAGTCATCAAGTTATCTGGAACATTCCGAACACTTATTCACAGTGTGGGGAAATAAAAAAAAAGCACTTATCCACAGTGACATCTGGTGGTAAAGTGGTTTGTTACAAACAGAAAACATGGCGGTTACAATGAACAAATACTTTTTTTTACAGTTTCTCATCACATTACTAAAATAAACAACTACGGTAAAGCATATGCTGTTTAGAAATATTACACTCAATAGAAAATAGTAAGTTTCCTGGACTCTTTTCATCCCTTGTAACCTTTTGTGTTGACCAATAAAGTGGAAGGACATTGAATCGGTCAGTATTTGTACGGAGTGCTTCTGTACATTTAAGTACTTTTCCTCAGAATTTTTTTTGTCTGACAAAACTAGGACTGAGGTGCTTTCTACCCCGTTTCCTTAAATATCATGCAGAAATCCAAAACTGTGTTCTGTACGAGACACTCAGGTAAATGAGGTGAGACTTTGCAAATACATTGCTGTTTTACAAGAGCTTAATGTTTTTTTTAATGTTGGAAGCTGAATCAGTGGCCATTCAGGCAAGCATGAGAGAAATCATCAATCACATCTAAAGTGCATATGTATTTTAATTTTGTGTATTTTTCACAAACAAGGTAACATGATCACAAGTTCAATGTGGGGAGTGTGAAAATGTTTAATCTATTTAACAGCTTAAAACTGTTGACATGAGTACAATTATTTGGCTTGACTGCCAAAGCACAGTAAAAATACAGTATATTCATACCACATAAGAAAGTAGCAATAATTAATGATTAATTAGTTTCTTCTGCCATCTTGCTAATGGTATGTTGAAAAAATAATAATAATAAATAAGAGCCCTAACACTGAAACTTGCAAAACTTTTCTTCATCCTGAACATTGTTTTAGATCATTAAAAAAAATCTATTATGCAAACTTTAACAACAAATTATAAGAAAAAAAAGTGTTTCTGAAATTATACAGCAAGTAAAAGATTTTGTTTTAACTTGTTTTGAGCTCATTTAAATAAAGATACTGGCCTTTGAAAAGGAGAGAGTTGTTTTAACATGTTACAAAAATAGAGACAAAAGAGGTTGGATTCATTAGTGCTGCAAACTTAAACCATACTGTTCATTATCTACCATAATAATGAGATAAAAATATTTTTATTTACTTATGTGATTAAAACATATGAAATGTACCAGGGCATCACTTCATAAATATGATAAAAATGTAATTTCCTATTTATTTTATTATTATTATTATTATTGTACTTATTGTTTTTTTATGTTGTTATTTATGCAATTATTTTGGAACAAAAGCCATGAGGTGTTTAAAGAATTAACAAGTATATAACCTGCCTAAATAAAGGTTGAATGAATTCGGAGTTTTCAGGAAGGATATGTTTGTATATAATCATGCAGATTTAATCTACATAGAGACCTTTAAATTAGAGGATTCAACACAATTATGTTTCTGAAATATACATGTAAGTCTATATAATATAGTATAATATGTTATAATATCATATAATATAATGTCATATACTTGGCCTACATAGATTAGTAGTTTTCATCATGTGGGGTGAAGATGCGTCGTAAATAGATTGGTGGGACGTCATGACGTCATTACGTACAGTACGACGTCTCGGAAAGGATAAACAAAAAGGAAGGAAGCCTTCGGCGACACAATCGCGGCAAAATTGGTTCAAAATTTTAGCTTCTCAGCTATAAGTTAGTCGCTACATGCACTTTTTAATCGCTTAGACAGCTGCTGGTGGGTGTTTACAATCATGAACGACGCATTAATGTTTCGTATGAGCGCGTTTTCCGACCAAGGAGGGAGAAAATACATGGAGGACGTTATCGAGATCAGAATCGAATACGAGCCGACGGCGTCGACAGACGAGGATTATCTGAAGTCGCAGAGACATGGAGGACAAGGGAAAGCTGAGGTTGAACCTAGCGAACAGACAGTAATGGAGACACATGTCCAACCGGGTCCCGGTACCGCAGCGTGGGTAGAGACTCTATCCGACGAGGACATTAGCAGCATCAGCACTTCGGTATCGGGCGAAACGGACGCAGAGCGTGTTGTTGACACTCGGAAGTCCGTGGCGTTTTTCGCAGTGTTTGATGGCCACGGGGGTCGCGAAGCGGCGCATTTCGCGAGCGAGCATCTGTGGGATCTGTTGAAGAGGCAGCGGGGCTTCTGGTCCAAGGATCACAGTGAGGTGTGTGCCGCTTTGAGGAAAGGTTTCATCGCCTGTCACCACGCAATGTGGAAGGAGCTGCGTAAGTATTCCAAATCCACCCACCCACAGCCATCCTGGATCTGTGTTCAGCATCATTGTGTGCGCTAAGTGTCACATGTAGCAGCAGCTTCACAACCTTCTTATCAGACTGACCTCACACAGAATTTAAAGTTTAAAGCACATGTTGTTAAAACTATGTTTATTATCATAGCTTTATCCAAATGCATACTCATCGTATACAAGGATGGACAGAAAACGTAGTGTGCGTTGTAATAAGACGAGTCTAATTCATACAGCAAAGTGAAAGTTATTCTGTTATTGTCGTAATATTAGTCCAATAAACAGTTTTTTTGTTTGTTTTTTATGAGACAAGTTTTTGCTTTTGATTCTTCAAGGTTTTACAATCTAGCTTCCATAAGTTTCATTCATCAGCCCAGTGATCCATCCATCCATTTTCTTTACCTGTTTATTCCATTTTGGGTCACGGGGGTCACTGGTGCCCATGTCCAGCAATCACTGTGTGAGGGGCGGGGTACACCCTGGACGGGTCACAAGTCCATCACAGGGCCACATAGAGACAAACGAGACAAACAACCATTCACTCTCTCACTCACACCTAGGGACAATTTAGAGTTACCAATCAGCCTAACATGCATGTTTTTGGTCTGTGGGAGGAAACTGGAGTACCCGGAGAAAACCCACGCATGCACGGAGAGAACACGCAAACTCCACCCAGAGAGGCCCCTGGACCAGGGTTTGAACCAGGGACCTGCTCGCTGAGAGGCAGCAGCTCTACCAGTTGCGCCACCGTGCTGCCCGCCCAGTGATCCAAGTATTTTTATTTTAGGGACTTTTGCATATAATAGTCAATTCAATTTATTTATATAGCGCCAATAAGTCACAACAGAAGTCATTTCAGGGCACTTAACAGAAACATTCATATATAAGTGAACACTATTTATCTGAGGAGCAGACTAACTCCATCGCAGAACGTTCATCTTGAGCAAGCATGAAGGCGACAGTGGAAAGGAAAAACTCCCTCCTGAGGAAGAAACCTCTAGCACAGGGCTATTGAACTGGAGGCCCGGGGGTTAAATCAGGCCCACCAATGGGTTCATTTTTAAATAAAACTAGATTTTTAACAATAAAACAGCGTTGGCCCCTGAGCTCTTGGCTTTCAGTAACTGTGGCCTCTTGAGCAATTTTGTTGAATAGTCCTGCTCTAGCAGAACCAGGCTCAGGACAAGCGGCCGTCTGCTTCGACCGACTGGGTTTGAGAGGAACAGGACGTAAGAACAGATACACAATGGCAGGTCCAGAATCTCATCTTAAGATAGGAATAGTATCAAATGAAAATTAATTCAGTTAGGATATAGAAAGTTAATTGGAAAGTAAGGTAATCCTTACCTTCATAGGATTACCAATATAGGAAGGCAATCCTTCCTATATTGTAATATATTACAATATAGGAAGGATTTTGGAGGGAAAATAAAGTAAAAAGAACCAGAAGTTACATAAAAAGTTGTTCAGTTGCTGTTTCAGAAGCACTCATTTGCCTTGAATTTGGTAGAAAGCTATAAATGTAATATTTGATAAATAAACCAACAGTGACCAACCACACTTTATTGACTGACTCATAACCATCAGCATTGTAAGACCTAAAACTAGACTTTATCTACTTCCAGTGCATCCTTTTAGGTAATTATTACTGCTGCACTTTTTACTGACTCGTTTATCTAAAAGATGTTAACTATATTTGCTGTATGATGTTTCCATCTCTGTATTTGCCCCGGTTCCCTTGCAGCGGAGTGGCCAAAAACTATCACTGGACTTCCCAGCACGTCAGGCACCACAGCCAGTGTTGTTGTGATCCGTGGCATTCACATGTATGTTGCTCATGTTGGGGATTCAGCAGTAGTGGTTGGAGTGAAGGAGAATGACTCAGACATCACGCTGCAGGCACTGGAAATAACACAGGACCATAAGCCTGAGCTTCCTAAAGAAAAGGAAAGGATAGAGCGACTGGGTGGCAGGTGGGTATTAAACAGGTTTATTTTAGTGTTTCTTTTTTTTAGACTTCTGCAGCATTCTGCTGCTGCAATATATTTTATAGGGCTTTAAGATATAATAATATCATTTGTTACTGTGTAATTTTAACTGTAGTGTAATGAAGAAATCTGGGGTGAATCGTGTCGTGTGGAAGAGGCCCAGGCTGACACATAACGGCCCCGTGAGGAGGAGTACCGTTATAGACCAGATCCCATTTCTAGCAGTAGCTCGATCTCTTGGTAAAGAGCACACCTGTTTGTTTTACCCTAACGTTACACTTTAAATGACTAATCCTCTTATTTTATTCCGAAACAGGAGATTTGTGGAGCTATGATTTCTACAGTGGAGAGTTTGTGGTTTCTCCCGAACCTGACACCACAGTGATGACCCTTGACCCCAAACGGCATCGTTATATTATTCTTGGCAGTGATGGTCTGTGGAATATGATGCCACCCAAAAATGCAGTCAACATGTGTTACAGTCATGATAAAATGGTGGTATGTAATAATGTCCCTCATAAATTACACATTTCTAAATTAGAGTAATAAACACGCCCTGTATTGCAGCTTTGTTTTGACTGCAGTTCTCATTTCTAAAGGGACCAAAGGGGATGTCTTGTGCCCGGAGGCTGGGGTGCACAGCTCTCCTGTTTTGGAAAGAGCGCATGCTCCGAGCAGACAACACAACGGTCATCGTCCTGGCCCTGCAGGAGCGAGGAGGCCCACCCATCCCTATGCACCGAGATGAGATTGTTGTTGACATGGCTACGGGAATTGACCAGATCCCATACCCCGGAACACCCTATAATACATGCGAGATCCAAAAGGTCAGAGCCATTGCTTTGTTGCGTTGTTTTATAAGTTCTCATTAGCCCAAGCCAGACAAATCTTAAATGCAAAGTGAGATTTCCAGCTGCAGAGCAGCAGAAAAGTATATTGTATGATTTTACCATGTATGTTCTTTCCTTTTTCTGTTTTTCTCTGTTGTCTTTAATACATTTCAGTTCATTTTTTAATTGTAATTTTAATGCTTACGTCACTTAAAAATCAAAGGTCACAGCAGTCATTCGAATCAGGGGCTGATTGGTTCACCAAATCACTCTTTTGTTTTCGGGGCCAACAGGCGGAGCATGAGGATGGCATGTTTTATGAAGAGGATGAAATATATGGAGAAGAACATGAGGAATGGACATGCCTGGAGTGGTAGTGAGGTGACTGCTCAGTAATAAGAATGTTTCAAATAATCCATAAAGTGACTAATCAGTAACTTTTTGTTAGCTCAAGTTAAATCTGGTTGCAAATTATTGCTGCTGGATGGATGAAATTCAAAAACTTTAAATCATCAGACAGTCACTAAAAGAAAAAAAGATGGCTTAAACATCAACTGCAATGTGGGCCTCTCCTTTACACCCACCTGCAAACGTGACAGAGGTAAGACAGATAAGACCTAAACGTCACACCAACAACATTGACATAGTTGTCCCTAGGCGTCTTAGCATAAGCATTTTTTAGGCTGTATTGTGCTGTAACTTCCCGCTTTTTAATCCTTTGCAGATGCATCATACATTCAATTCAGTTTATTTAGTGACAGGTCACAACAGAAGTCATCTCAGGGCACTGATCAAAAACATTCACATACATTATAAAAGCCATTTAGTAAAGTTATCCATCTAAGGAAGGAAGCATGGTGGGAACGTGCCATCAACAACTTGACAGTTCACAAAATGTGCTTCAGTTGTTCGAGTGTTGTTATTGTTGTAGAGAGAGCAAATGTCATGAATAAGTTTGACGTTAAACATAATCCAAGTTGAAGTGTTACGTCATTTTCACCCCCTTTTTGCATCTGCATTTGGTAGCAGGTCAAATTGACAAAGACCATGCAGAATAATGTAATATTTTAATTCCATAGCAGAGAAAGCTATGTAGTCTCTGTAAGTAGGTCTAGGGGAAAAAAATAATGGTATTGGTTATCGGCCAAATAAGTTTTACCATATCGGATATCGGCCAAAAATCCAATATCGTGCATCCCTAATTTGAACCCACATAATATATGAGGCGAAATAAGAAACCGTGGGAAAATGTCTTATATAATCAAAACAGAATTGTGTTTCATATTTTATGTTTCTTTGTGTATGCTTTGTATGTTTTTATGGGCTTAATTAATTTGTCTTATTGTACAGCACTTTGGCTACCCTTGCAGGTTTTTAAAATGTGCTATAGAAATTAAGTTGATTGATTGATTGATTGATATTTGGTAGGTTGGGTTTTGAAAGATGTGCATTTGATGCCGCTGGCTTGTTTCAAAGAAAGTTCCCACATTAGCTGTTTACCACTTTGTTTTGTCATTTCATCTCAACTCTGTGATTGTTGTAGTGCTTATTGTTCTGTCAGTGAAAATGTTTCTATTCTTGTTTAGCATATGATTTGTGCTATTTGACTGTTCGAGATCATTGTTTCGTATCTGTTGTTATGATGTTTGGTGATAGGTTTGGACAGAAGGCCAGTTTAGCATTTACAGTAAAGCCATGCTAGTAGTTTTTCATTATAGGGATAGCCATTGTCTTGCTTATTTAAGCAATATATTCATTGAAATATACATTAACCAGATGGCTAGATGCATTGCCAAAATGTATTTATGTTGTTTTGTATTAACTTGACCCTCACAGATGTGACAGCTAGTGATGTCATATGTTCTGCAACATCCCTGTACCATCACGTGTAGTCCTGGAAGAAGCAGCATCCATTAGTTCAAAAAGAGTATCAAAGTTTAAATGATCTGCTCTCAGAACGTATTCAACTTGGTTGCTCAGAAAGTACTAAGCTCTACAAGTACCACCATTATGACAGAATTTAAATACCTGCTATATAAGTTAACAACAATGTCCAACTGGTTTCAAAGCTCGTCCTGAAAAATTTAAAGCATGTCAAGTATTTGACATAAACAAGCAAACTGACGGATCAGCTTGAACCAGACCTGGTCCTGTGTCCCACTTGAACTCTAAGCTGCCTGAAGGACACAAACCAAGGCCGATCACCTTCAGCTGAAAGGGTACTAGTAGTGATGGCCGAACACCTGATGAACATGAGGTCCGCTACTGAAGATGTGTCCCAAAATTCAAACTAAAGGAAGCTTTGTTAATTAAATACTCTACAATTTTGGCAATTGTCAAATTTTAATTCATGAGCTAAACATACGATTTTTTAGATACACAAGCTTGAACCTTGGCTCAGGCTTTTTTTTTTTTTATAGCTAGCATTTGTGATCAGTGAACTGGTTTAGGGGAATAAATTGGGATGCAAAAAGCAGAACCAGTGTTAAAAGATGAGGTCAGACTTGTTTCTGTGGATGTTGTGTTGGGCTTTTGCCTTTGTCATCAATTCTGTTCAAAGTCTAAAGTTATAATTTCTAATTCTAGCCAGGGAGCAGAGTGCTTTTTTGAAGTTCAGTTGGCTTCAGATCACATCTTTATGGTCCTGTTGGCTTCAAGTGTGAACCTCCAGTAGGTACCAAGTTTGCAACCAAGTGTGAAAATCTCAGTATGAAAATTAGCACTGCTGGGTCTAAGGTGGCAGAAAAGTGTGGATTACCAATTTCCAGTTGTGAGTGAACAAGGACATTGAAATATCTTGACCTCTTGATCAGAAGTGAAATTAGATGTGCAGATTGGGGCAGAATTGACAGGGATGTGAATGATGTACTGGTCTCTTGTAGATGTAGAGCAGTGGTTTTGTCACCAACTACAAGCCGCATAAAATGATCTTCCTTCAAAAGGAAGATGGTCTCATCCTAAGAGACGAGTAGAAAAACAGATCTTTTTGCTAGAAATTCACTATTAAGTCACTGCTGCTCTATAATTAACAAAGCCAGTTGTGCAGGTGTACGTATGCATATATATGGCTTTTTCTAGAAAAGTTGTGAACATCTTGGGTAGAAGTCTCAGGGCAGACCGTAAATTTGCTGGAAGGGTATGGGCTCAAATTCTAGCCGTAAATATTTTGCACGTGTAAAAAAGATTTGTACGTGTAAAAAAAACAATAATAATTGTAACCTTGTAAAAAAAAAAAAAAAAATTGTGTGTAAAAAAGATTTGTATTTGTAAAAAAAAAAAAAAATAAATAAATAAATCACAAGTTACAAAACTTTTTTACAATGTTCTGTTTAGATACAAATCCAAAAACTACATGTACAAATTGTGTCCTGGATTTTACTCCTCTCAGCTGATTGGTCAATGACATGTAAATCACAAATTAAGGACCAATCAGAGAACAGATGGGTTTGGCTGAAGATGCCTCCAGCGGACTGGTCTTCAGAATGTCCGTAGCAGTCGTATGTGTAAACAGAACATCGTAAAAAAGTTTTTTAACTTGTGATTTTTTTTTTTTTTACACATGCAAAATATTTATGGCTAGAATTTGAGCCAATGGAGGTGTCTCTACTCAGACTGTTGATCCTGTCCGTCATACTACGGCATGTTTTCTGGAGACTCATTTAGTCACACCCAAACACATTTTTGGGATGCCTGCAGTCTGCAACAGTTAAACACGTGTGGAGGTGAACACATGGATCTGTGGTAATAAAGTCAGGCTTGTGTGACACTCGGTGCTTTTGTAAGCGTGAACAAATGACTTTTGAGCATTACAAGTTCTTTTTTTTTAATTATTATTAAATTAAATTTTGATTTTTTTTTTTTATTATATGGCCGTTGAATGACAAACATATTATGATATAATCAATAAGTCTGTAAACTTTCTCTTGTCCGAGCCATAACTTCTGATCTGCTAAAGATAATTTCACGTAACTTCATACTACTTTGTACCACCACTACACGTATGATGTGCTGTATGCAGTACTCTTGTTTTCAAACGTGTTACTCATGTAAATTGGACATTAGTCTACTGTTTCCTTTGAAAAGATCAAAAATAATGATAAATTTGCAACTTTTTGGCCAGTCATTGCAAATTTATGTACACTTATACCCTAAATATTTTTCTAATAGTAAAAAAAAACCAGTTATTATAGCCCTCAATTTTTAAATTGATGGGTTTACTAAGAAAATATTCTTTATATTCAAATCACTTCTGTACCTGTCTGATCTGAAGTGCGCATCCAACATTATGATCCAAGACAAACATTTAAAAATATTCATTTTATTTGTTTTATCAGTTTTATCATTTTTCAGTCAGATTTCAGTTTCCTTTTATCACTTGATGCAGTGCACATCTTATACATCTGTTTGATTATATTTAAAGCCAATATTGTTTGTACATTTATTTATATTATATATATATATATATATATATATATATATATATATAGATGGAGTAATTTAGTGTTAGGTTTAAAGTTGTGTTTAAAGCTTTTTCTTAGCTATGACCTTGAAACATGTCTGAAATTAATTGATGATCCTGTTAATGAAGTACGTTGTGTGAATAATTTAATATTGCTGCTCACACAGAGTTATTTTGTGTGTGTGTGTTTGTTTCTTCTTGCATCTTTCAGCAGAGTGAACCACTAAATGCTCCCTCCCCGTTCAAACACCGTTCCACCCCTCTGGAGCAGGCGTTCGGTCTGTACGAAGCAGCTTTCTGCACCACCACACAGCTCCTACCTGATACTGACTCGACGCCGTGCCCTCCAGACGGTCCGGTGAATGTTTTTGAAAAACAAGACCCAACCACCCAGATGGTCTCAGCTACTTCTGCACCTCTTTGGAAAAGATCCTGCCATTCTTTACACAGACCCCATGAACTTAAAGGCTCTTATCATCGCCTGGGCCGACCCCCTAACAAAAGACTCTCCAAGAAGGCACTTCACAGCAAAAAAGGAAGTGAACAATCCGTGCAGTCTCATGATCAAAATACAGAAACGAGCTCCCCTAAGGAAGGCGGCATCCTGCCACAGCACCACAACTCTGCCTTGTGTGTGGGCTGAATCTCATCTGTCCGCTCACATGAAATTATTCATCCGCATCATGTCAGCTTCACTCATCTACCAGGTGTCACCGTCACTAAATGCATACTTTTCTACAAAGTCCTTGTAAATGTGTGAGATATGCTTGTTAGATTAGATGTGGTGCTGTTCCTTTTCTTTCATGATCCTCCCCCTGCTCCTCCTTTACATCGAACAATCTTCAAATTGCTCAATCTTCTCTATTTTTGTATCTTTAAGTATGTACAGTATCCAAAGGCATATTTTCAAGCAGACGCACCACTGTAATGTCACCTACCTTTAATTTAACTGAATTGGGACCCATGTGATCTTCCTGTTTAGTGTTTTTGTTTTTTAATAAAAAAAAAAAAGATTAAACTATTTAATTAATTTTGCATAGTACTGAAATGTCAGTATTTTTATCCCCCATGGTGGAGGTAAATACCTCATCAACTGTTTGGTGCTGCCGTGTCAGTGTCTGGAATAGCTTGATTTGTAGTCTACATTTTGATTCCACTGCAAGCAGTGGGCTGAGGTGATTATGCGGGTACTGATTGAATATACATTCTTTTATTTTACATTATGATTAGCCAATTACTAATGAACTGACTTGTTTAGTAAGTTTTAAATTTGAGTTTCACATCAGTCAGAAATAGGATAACGTGCTTCAACCCCAGCTGTAAAATAACTGCACTGGATTTGAGTGAACTGATCATTCAATGGTCTTTTATGGTTTTTGTACTTTTATATTGTGTCATTCCAAGCGCCTTCATTTAGTTTTTATTTTCCATTTGGATTAGGAAAGATTATCCTGTTGTAAAATGTTAAACCTGGTTAAATTTTTTTTTTTTTTTTTTTATCATAGAGGCAGTAATAAAGGATGTTCACTTCTGTCGATGTTAATGACCGACAGAAGTGTTCATTTTCATATTGCACTACCCAACGTTAGCACGTCTTCCTTTGTTGTTGTTGGTTATTGTGTGTCTGTTACAGGGGCTTCATTTTCCATAGACAGCACTTCATTGTACACAAGTGCCATGTTCATATAACAGCGATTAAAGTTATGGCAGCTCAGTTACTTAAACGTTTTTTCCCCATAAAAGTGGTGTCATGGTTGCCTTAGCACAAAATTAGTTTGAGGTGTTTTTCATGTTTTGTTATTTTTATTTTGAGACCCTAAAACACTAAAATAGGATATAAGGCTGTGGTTGGACTTTGTGATTCATCATTTACATTTGTTTTTTGTAATTTTTACTGTTTTACTGCAGCACGCTTCATGTGTTTAATGCTTTCATATTCAGAGCAAATTTTGTACAGTAAGTCAATATGCAACCGAAATGTGTACAGTACATTCATATGCAAAGTATCTGGGTTTTTCAGGAGTTCGGCATGCTCAGATCAACTCTGTATTTTGTGAATAGTCCGCAGGTAATGAATGTTAATGAGCATGTGGTGTGTTTCAACAACAACAATATTTTTGTCTGACTTTATATCCACTGTGGCCAATTTTTATTGTTTACTATATAAAAATATACTTGGAAAGTGAGTAGATATATAATGTATGTGTGTTGTAATAAATTTCTCCTTTTTTCAATTGTTTTTGCGTCTGCTTCTTTCTGATAATCAGATCAGTGTAAGATGAAAAATGTTTAAAACATTGCCTTTCAAAAATAAATATGATTACCTCCAGCAATATATTTTTCTTCTTTCAAGACTAAAATTGAGAGGGGAAAATGATGTTGCACATTCTATTGTAGCATCGTCCAGAAGATGGCAGCATTGTTTAATCATTAGCTCTTACTGGCATACAATTACTGTCCTATCCATCCATACATTGTCTTTACCTGTAGGGCGGCTGTGGCTGAGTGGTTAGAGCAGTCGTCCTCCAATGCAAGAGTTGGGGGTTCGAATCCACCAGCTGTCACATGCCAAAGTGCCCCTGGGCAAGACACTGAACCCCTCATTACCTCTGATGTGTCCCCCATCTGTGTATGAATGTGATAAATTGACTCATTAGTCTCTTTAGAATGATTTGTTCATATAGCTTTGTAGAGATCTAGTAGAGTGATGTATGAATGGATAAATGAGGACACAGATTGTGGTGTAAAGAGCTTAGAGTATCTTGATCAGATTGAAAGGTGCTATAAAAGTACAGTCCAATTACCATTTATCTGCTTCTTCATTTCTGGGTTGTGTGGGTCACTCGTGCCCATATCCAGCAATCACTGTGCGAGGGGCAGGGCAGGGGGCACTCCTGTACAGGTCTCCAGTCCATTACAGGAACACATAGAGACAAACCAACCATTCACACTCTTACCTAAGGACAATTTAGAGTTGCCAATCAGCCTAACATGCATGTTTTTGGTCTGTAAGAGGGAACTGGAGAAAACACACGCTTGCACGAAGAGAACATGCACACTCCACCCAGAAAGGCCCCTGGCCAGGATTTGATCCAGCATCAGCAACTTTCTTGCTGAGAGGCAACAGCTATACCAACTGTGCCACCGTGTCACCTCAAATTTATATTTATTTAATATATATATATATATATATATATATATATATATATATATATATATA